CTGTAATACGGCTGGACTTGTGTATCTACTCACTTGCCAGTGCAAGCTAAAATATGTTGGAAAAACTTTTAGGCCATTTAAAAAGCGCATTCAAGAACCTGTGCGATCTCCTAGAAATCCTTTGGATAACCCTATCTCAAAACATCTTAGGGAATATCCAGTGGCGTACACATGACCCATGGGGCCCCGGTGCGAAAATTGATCCGTGGGCCCCCCCGCGCGCTTACTCGGCGCTGGTCAGGGCCTCAACACATGGCGGCCCCGCGACCGCGGTATGCACACACACTTAAAGGACCACTACAGACACCCAGATGACATCAGCTCAATGAAGTGGTCTGGGTGCCAGGTCCCTCTAGTTTTAACCCTGCAGCTGAAAACATAGCAGTTTCAGAGAAACGGCTATGTTTCACTGAGGGTTAATCCAGCCTCTGGTGGCTGTCTCATTGACAGTTGCGAGAGGAGCTTCCGCGATTCTCACTGTGAAAATAACAGTGAGAAGACACTGAACGTCCATAGGAAAGCATTGAGTAATGCTTTCCTATGGGCGGTTTAAATGCACGCGCGCGCCTCTTGCCGCGCATGTGCATTTGGAGCTGAGAGGCGGAGGGATCCCCAGCGCCAAGGGAGTCCAACGCTGGAGAAAGGTAAATACTGAAGACACACACACACATTCTCATGAACAGACGCATACACGCTAGCTAACAGACACACACATTTACTGACATACATACACACTCACTTACAAAACATACACTTTCACTGACAAACACACACTCACTAACAGACAAACACACAGTAACAGACACACACAGTAACACACTCACTAGCAGACACACACCCAATAACAGACACACTCACTGACACACACTCACACAAACAAACACAAACACACACACTAACACACTAACACACACACACACTAACACACACATACACTAACACACACATACACTAACACACATACACTAACACAAACACACACACACACACTAACACTAACATACACTAACACACACATACACTAACACAAACACACACACACAAACACACACTAACACTAACATACATTAACACACACATACAGTAACACACACATACACTAACACACATACACTAACACACACATACACTAACACACACATACACTAACACAAACACACACACACACACTAACACTAACATACACTAACACACACATACACTAACACACAAACACATACACTAACACACACATACACTAACACACACACAAATACACATACTAACACACATATACTAACACACATTTTTTTTTTTAAATGTAATCCCCCCAGCCTCCTTAACTTTTGGAGTGCTGGGGGGATTCCCTGGGGTCCAGTGGTGCTGCTGGACTCCTGGGCGGGTGGCCGGTCGGGCAGGCAGGCGGGCGCGCGAGGGAGCACTCAGTGCTTCCTCTTCAGCTCCCTCTCGCGCCGCGTAGGGATGTCGGCGCCGGAAGATGATGTCATCTTCCGGCTCCGGTATCGGTGCGCGAGGGAGCTGAAGAGGAAGCATGCTGAGTGCTCCCTCGCGCGCTCGCCTGCCCGACCGGCCACCCACCCGCCCGGGTTAGCAGGGCCAGCCTCGGGGGGCCCTGAGGTGGCCGTCCCCTGGGCCCCCCAGGAGAAGAGGCTGGCCCTGTGGCTACATACCGGGTCGCAGGGGCGGCCGGGCCCCCTGGTGGGCCGGGCCCGGTCGCAGCCGCGACCCCTGCGACCCTGGTATGTACGCCACTGGGAATATCACAACAGAGATTTAAAAGGGTTACGCTTCTGTGGCCTTGAACTTGTGAAGAAAAGCCCTAGGAGAGGGAATTACGACAAATTTTTGAGACAACGAGAATCCTTTTGGATTTTTAGACTAAAAACCTTATGCCCTAGGGGTCTTAACGAGGGTTTCTCATTTTCCCCTTTCTTATAAATATCGGGTGAATTAAGGTTCTTTACGAAGACGGATTCATCTGTATAATCTATTCATGATGATTGGAATAAGTGGAACTTCGTTCCATAAATGTATTATGACTGAATTAGGCTGATTTAAAATATATGTTATTTGTTACTACTTTCTCCACTTTAGGAACGGATTACTGGTTGAGCCCACTTTTGAACTCTAAAGGGCTATTTTCGGGATTTCATTATCCCAATTTGAAAATATATAAGATGTAGAGTTCCGCTTGTCCTTGCTTTGCTACATTCAGTACTTCTACATTTAATAAGTTTTTGTTGAACTTATTTATTAAGAATATAGATGGTTATATGAAAGAGGGTTTTTAAGTAATCAGACTTTAAATATATTTTCTAGATAGCTGTGTACATATAATAGGCATAGCTGCATTTGTCTCTTATTAGGGCTCAATTTTCCAACGTCTCTATTCACAACCTCTAGAAAGTGCTTGAGTTTCTAATAACAACTTCTATGTAATAGGTATTTCAAACAACTCTAATAAGGACAATGTAATCCTTTATCTATATTCTAATACAGTAGTGTAATATGTATTACTTTGTAGATCTTTTTAACTACTCTAATAAGGACAATGCAACTCTGCATCTTTATATTATAATATATTGAGTCTCCATTTTCTAACACTATAAGACCATTTGCCTTCTAAGGGTTAATGCAATGCCAGATACAGATAGATCGCTTATTTTTATTATTGATGATCGGTATTCCGGCTTTGAGCTTTTAGAATTGTACCTGTGCAGCCTCCGTCCCTCCGATGTTTTAAGATAGGGCGTGGCTGAATGACGTACTGATATGGAGGCGGGTCTTATTCATTTAAAAGACCGGGTGGATACCCGGCACGGAGACACTCTTGAAAAAGGCGCCATAGAGCGCTGAAACGCGCGTCGAGTTAGACGTTCTCTTATTAGGTTAGGTCTTCTATTGCAGCCCAGTTACCTCTTGCTGGTCCGGGGATGACTTTTTGCTAGTAGTTTGTAGCTTTAGCCAGCTCATTTAGTAGCAGCTTTGGAGACCCCCTTTTTTCACCTCAATAGCTTCCTAGATAGGAAGGTTTTCACTTAGCTTATTTAAAGAGCCGAATTGTATTTATTATTTACTCCTTTCTAGGATTGAAATAGGTAACTTTATTACTATGATTCTTTGACAGTTACCTCTTTCTGGATACATTTTGATAGTGTCAGCAGTTCAATTGCTACATTTAAGTTTGTTACGTTTAAGCTGAATAGAAGGGACTTATACTCCTTTCCAGGGGGGATTCCCCATTTTTGCTGCATGACCAGGCTTAGAGACTGATTTCAGAGACTTGTGGTCTAAATTATTAGACTATATACTAAAGGTGTGCCTACTATTTTTTGAGGTATTTTTAGGATTACATATTGGATTTACCGTATGCAGTAAAGACTAGGAGATTTTTCCAGTACCACAATGTTGCAAGTGACTTTATCCTATGTTAAGCTACGGTTTCCTTAGTAACCCACCCCTCTGAAGGGCATTACCATTTTTCTAAGAATATAGGAGGCTGGCCCAGTTTACTTAGCTTCTATTTTCAACTCTACATTTCTCTATTAGTAGAAAGAGATACACTGAAGATGTATATATTTACAAACTTTAAGGACTTTCAGGATTACTTATTGGGTTATCGTATGCAGTAACACTGGGGGATTTATTTAGTATCAGCATATTACAACTGAATTTATTCTACCCTGTATGTATATTAGCTGCAACTGTAGTAGATGATTTACTGCAAACCAATTAGTTTGAATGACTATCTGTTCCTGTCCAAATTAAAGATAATAAAGTTGCGTGCACGCAGAAGTAAATTCACACTGAGACACAGAGTTCAGGTTAATGAAAGAACTTCGGAGAAGTTTAATGGCTTCTGTTTAAAAAGCAGGCTCGCAGGCCCTTTTAAAGGCATTATTACATCATTGAAGAAAATCAAGATATAGACAAATAGACATTGTTAATTGGCTTAGGTGCTAAGTAGTTAGTAAAATGCCCTCCCTACGGGGTGTACCATCTTAGGTCACTATCCTCGTCATGATTGTCTCCTCCAGGTTTTAGCGCCATTTTGTTAACATGAGGAGCTCACTCGACGGGAGGGGCCTTTTGGCAGCTATCCATTTAGAGTGTAGCCTGGCACTGTTAGTTTCTCAAGGTTAGGTTTCAAGGCTTTTAGTAAATACACATTTTATCAAAGAAACACTACAGGTGCATAATATTTCTTGCTGACATGCAAATTCTATATTCTATAGACAAAGCTTTCTTGTAAAACTATGGGGCCTCTTAGAGGTATAGCAAGAGGATTTAAAGGGGCCTTACAGATTTATAGAGGCCTAATAATTCTACAACACGACCACCCTAGTAATCTAACCTCTAATGAATATCACAAACTTTATACCTTCTAAACAGGAGAGAGAGACGGTCTGAATGTTTTACTTTATATCTCAAGCTGAATATATACAAAGTCTAACATTTTGAATTTACTATCTAGATAAACTACAGTTTAGTGTTTGGTTACCAACCTTGGAAGTCATACCCCTAACTAGTGACCATATGGCTATTACTCTGACGGTTTAGGCTAATTTTACTATCATTACCCTATAGCCATTTACATTTATACATACAAGGGTCTACTGAGGCTGCATTAAGCTTTTCCTTTCTAATTTCACTAGCATGTTTGTGTGTTGCACTATTATTATTTTGTTCTATTTTTTACAAAATTAAAATATTATCTAATAAAGATTGTTTGATTTTATATAGTGTGCCCCTTGAGTCGCCCTTACTGTTGTGGGTACTCCTGGGTGGGTTATTAGAGGAACGGCAGTTTGCCCTTTACTCTTCTAGTCTGCTAGGGTTCTTTTTTATCCGTCGATTTCTCCCTCTGCCTCTTGAAAACTTTTAAATGCGTTGAAGGGTACCTTATTTCATTCCGGAATGTGCAGAAAACTTTCCACTGTTGGGATCTCGGGCTGCTGTACCCCTGCAAAGCGTAGCTGGTACTGCCTTTTCTCCTGGACTTCAGCTGCGACCTCGTTGAACACTTGAGAAACAAGGTCGGTAGGAGGATTAGGGCCATACAGTGGTAATCTCGACCGAAGATTGGTTCGGACATAGTAGTGGTTTGATCAATTTCGACTAGTTCCACTTTTAGCTCCCTGCATGGTTGGTTGCTGGCTGTGCGGCCATGGCTTTCCAATAAGTTTTTCAGAGTCAGCTTTTTCAATTTCTCATATTGGGTCTCTATCCAATCAGCATCTCTCCTGGGAAAGCAGGACCATCCAGCCGCTAGTGGAGTGGTCTCTGCCGCCAGAGATGTCCTTTTCCCTTAGAGTAGAGAGCTCTAAAGTATTCCCAACCATCATTCCAAGCAGTGAAGAGTAGGTATATCTGTGAAGCTCTTTTAAAAGCGAGTGGTTATAGCTTGTATAGCAGGTCCCTACAAACACGAGGCGAGGCTCTATGTTGAGGGTAAAGCAGGTCTGGTTTAATGGTAGCAACACTGGCCTTTTATGCAAGTCCCCAAGCAAGGGATACACCCACATGGACCTTGTTGGGGACTGTGACACAAACTTGCAAACCAATAATAACAGAGTTATTATATAAGGCACTCCCACACATGGCATACAATCCTTCCCTTCTGCCTGGGAGATAATTAAGTCAGATACTGTATTAACCCAATTATCTCCAGGCAGAAAAAACACATATTTTACAAAACCCCAAAAGTACCCCAAAAACACGTAATATCCCCTCCGATCTGGGAGAGCAACATATATAAAAATCACCCAGATCGGTTCAGGGGTTCGAAAGTTCCATGGAAGTGTTATTTCTGACTGACAGCACACAAGGTTCCTGTCCAGAATAGTTCTATAAAATTGGGCTGTGCAACTAGTCTATTTCATAGGTTTCTAGTATAACAAAAAGTCTCTAAGAACGGTTTGTGGGAAAACTAGTCGTGTGCCCCTTGTTCGGGAGTTGGGTTTCCCTGAACGCCACCTCGTTCGGATGGTTTGGCGCGAACCTAAGTGACCCCGGAAGCCTCGGCGGTGTTCGGGCCATTGAGTGTCCGAAAATAGTTCCATACACTCGATGACCAAACACAGCTGTTACAGTGATATTGTCAGGATTAGAGTATGATCCAGCACGTAGAATTATGTAACACAGAGGACTGATAGGTAACATATACCAGACCTTAAAATGGCTGGACTAATGTACCAAAGAACAGTCAGGAATAGCCAAGGTCAAGGGATACAGAAAGAGACACAATGATAAGGAAAAGCCAGAGGTCAGGAATGCAAGAAAACAGGGAAGTCAAAAACAATGCCAAAGTCAAATAACCTGAAATAATAGAATCAATAACACGCTCTCGGACAACCACAAGGGAAACCACGACGGGGCACAGAGCAGGATGAGAACTGGGCCTAAATACCACTCCTCTGGATCTGATAGGGGGTAATCGGCCTTTGACCCCAAAGGCAGTTACCAGGAACCCATTTGCATAATTGCTGCTCAGCACAAACCCTGCTGTGTATTTGATTGTTGCTTGGCACAACCTTTCCTGTCAGGACAATAATGTTGTTCGGCACAACTTTTCCTTTCTGAACAGTAAATTCCATTAATCATATTTTTATAAGCGGATGAATACGTGACAGACATATGCACATATCCTGAGACACTGTTACACACACTGACATATACACATACACACACACACACACACACACAGATACACACCGTGATACACAGATGCCACACACACTCATAGATATGCACACTGACTTACACACACACACACACATATGCACAGACACTGACTCATGCACATACCCTGACATACGGACACACACAATGACAAATCAACATCAATGACAAATCAACAATGACAAATCAACACAATGATCATCAACAGCTTCTTCTCATCCTCCGCAATATCGGTCTACAAGATATTGCTCTCTCCTGGTGCTCCTCCTACCTCTCCCAGCGCTCTTTCAGTGTTTCTTTCTCTGGCTCTGCTTCTTCTTCCCAACTCCTCTATGTTGGTGTCCCCCAAGGTTCAGTTCTTGGTCCCCTACTGTTCTCCATCTAAACTTCCTCCCTTGGTAAACTCATTAGCTCCTTTGGCTTCCAATTTCATTTCTATGCAGATGACATGCAAATCTACCTGTCCTCTCCTGATCTCTCCCCGTTCCTCTTGACTAGTGTCTCTGACTGCCTCTCTGCTGTTTCTAACTGGATGGCTGCCCACTTTTAAACTTAAACTAACCTTGACCAAAACTGAAATTCTGGTCTTTCCTCCCTCAATTATTGTTACTTCTGTGTCTGTCTCCCTCCAAGTCTACGGTGTTACCATCAGCTCCACCAAACAGGCTCGCTGCCTAGGTGTTCTCTTTGACTCCGACCTCTCCTTCAAGCCTCATGTTCAATCTATCGCCAAATCCTGTCATTTCCATCTCAAAAACATTGCACGCATCCGTCCCTACTTAACGCCAGATGCGACTAAGGTGTTGGTCTATTCCACTGTCCCTTCTCGCCTTGACTACTGTAATCCACTTCTCAGTGGTCTTACGTGCTCCCAACCACAGCCGTTACAGTCCATAATGAATGCATCGGCGAGGCTCATTTTCCTGTCCGCCCGCACCTCCCATGCCTCACCCTTCTGTCAGTCCCTACATTGGCTTCCTATAAAATATAGAGCTCAATTTAAAATTCTGGTTCTTGCTTTCAAGTCTCTACATAATGCTGCTCCCACCTATCTATTCTCCCTTATACACAAGTATGTCCCGTCTAGGCCCTTACGATCTGCTGAAGACTTATGTCTATCTTCTGTCTGTACACTCACCTCTGATGCTCGCCTTCAAGATTTCTCGAGGGATGCACTGTTCCTGTGGAACTCACTTCCCTCCTCCGTTAGATGCTCACCCAGTCTCCACTCCTTCAAAAAATCGTTAAAAACACACTTCTTCATAAAAGCGTATCAATTAATAGCTCCTGACTTATTCCTCTTCTGCAACTGTCACTAGTCTAATACTATCCTTACCTTTTTGTGTCATTTTACCCCACTCCCTCTAGCATGTAAGCTCATTGAGCAGGGCCCTCAACCCCTGTGTTCCTGTGTGTCCAACTTGTCTGGTTACAACTACATATCTGTTCATCCACCCATTGTAAAGTGCTGCGGAATTTGACGGCGCTCTATAAATATCATAATAATAATAATAATAATAATAATAATAATAATATACACACACACACACTCAGATACACACACTGATACATACGCACACTTGGACACAGGTACACACACACACACAATCAAATATACATAAACACATATATGTGATAATTTTTGGCATTGGGGACTATAAGCACCTGTTTGCTTACCTTTTGTGAACTAACCACAGTCCAGCTGTGGATTAAGCAACCTCAGTTGCTTCTGTCTCTTCATAATCTCAAAGAGATTCAAGGTTATTGAGATCATGGCTCTGTGGAGGCCATACCATCACTTCTAGGACTCCTTGTTTTCCTTTATGCTCAAGATAGTTCTTAATGACTTTGGCTATGTGTTTGGAGTTGTCATGCTAGAGAATACATTTGTGACCAATCAGTTGAATAACTGGCTTTACTTCTCTGCATTGAGGAGATCATTTATACTGACCAAAACAACATCTCAATTTTTATGTTGGAAGTATGGCTTTCTGGCTGCAAGTCTTCCATGAAGACCACTTCTGACTAGACATTCCTATACAGTATAAATAAAGTGCATGTGCCATTCAAATGAACAATTCAAATAACATAAATAAACCTTAAAAGTTAAAGCAAGAATTAGGACCCACATGGCCATCACACAGATATGTACCTTGCACAGTAGAAAATCACTGTGTAATTCTTAGTATACATGTTTACAATAGTGTGCCCAGAATCGGATTAAGAACATACGAGGCCCAATGCAGGTTACTAGATTAGGGCCTGCCTTCATTCTTCACTCATGCCTTTCACAAACATTGACTCATACACACACACTGATCCATAGACATAGATAACCACTGACTGAAATTGATCCATAAACTCACATATGCACTTTCTAACACAGACACGGACCCATATATGCATAGATACAGATCGGGTGCCTAGGATGCCTTGGAGATAATCCAACTCTGAATATACATCAATGGCTGGTTTTATGCTGTCCAGTAGGCAATGACTTAGGAAGCATTCTTTTTATTTTGCACAGCATGCAAGCTTACTAGATCACAGAGGCTGGGGTGATATGAGGATCTTTCCTGGTACTGGTCAAACTGGGGTCTGAGTGGGACTCATTTAGATATCAAATCTGACATTCAGCACTGGCGGTGATTACAGCAAGTAATGAAGATCAGTCCTCAATTCACCCATTGCAGCGCATGGAGAAATTGGTTTCAGATAACTGAATACAGCGGATTTATGAATGCATTAATGCTCCGTTGCACGCATGTGCAATTTGTCTACAGGTTATCTCAGTGGGAAGCCTCAGATTGGGCAGAAAAGTTGATGCTAGAGAAAAAGAAAGATCCTTAGAGTAGTTACAAAAACACATTTTGCGGCTGATGCAAACTTACTTTTTTATAAAGGTGTCAGCAGTCTCAACACATACACATAACACCACACACAATTCCACAAGCAGCCCACATACAAAGCCAACATTTACACACATAACATCATACACAGTCCTCAAACCTACATAACACAATGCCACAAACTGCTCATGCACATACACAATCTAATATAGCCCAGATATGCACAAATACAACCCTACAAGTCAGCTGCACATCCCATACATAACACACGAAGAATAAAACAAAATGCACACGTTAATAAAAAAAATATATTTATATACTGGTATGACTAGGAACTTCAAACTCTTGTTTTGGTACAGTGCTGCTCAAGTGCAAGGTTAGGCAACCTTGCACTTGAAGATGAAGAATAAAAAAGAGAATAATAAAACATTCCTATTCATAATAAATATTGCCTACCTTTATTTTTTTCCCCAGTGTTATTAAAAGGCTTTTTTTATATCATGGAATAATACAATTTGTTTACCGTAAGGTAGCATAACTAGGAGTTACAGGCAGCATCATAATCTTCAGTATTCACTGTAATGAACACTCTGCACCATGTATTTTGTTTGTGTTGCTTGCTAGAAGATTATAGTCATTGAGACTTGAAAACTGATAGCTTAAAATTCTCCAACAATTT